TTTTCAAACGACAATTATATTAATAACTTAAAAACTCAATAAAGTACAATCGAAATGTCAAATGACACATAACCCGAAAACTAGACCAACCACAAAACAAAACTAAAAAAAAGAGACACCAACTTCATTTAGGAGATAAAAGCAAGCACAACTGCACTAAAAGCAGATAAAGCTGCACTAAACAAACCAAAACACCAAAATAACAAAATGAAACTCAAGCTCATGATACACATTTTTTCAGTGGTTCATTTTTTTTTTGTTTGGTGATTTTTCCTAATGATTTTAGGATATAAATGATGTGATACAAAAAATATTAATGAATTACGACCATAACTATTTTAGTTACATATATGAATAGTGAATACATATATGAACAAAAGGATAATGAATTTAAATACATGATAATGTGTTGGAATTAGGGATGCAAACGAGCCGAGCCGAGTCGAGCATTGACCTTATCGAGCGGATTGATTTTTTTTTTTTTGAGGTGCTCGAGCTCGAGCTCGAGCTCGTCGAGCTCGATTTTTGGTGCTCGAGCTCGACTCGATCAAAACATACAAGAGCTCGAGCTCGACTCGAGCTCAACTCGAATTCATAATGCTCGAGCTCGGCTCGAGTTCGGCTCGAATTTTTTCAAGAAATTTTGTAAAATAACTATTAATTACATATATATACAAGGGTATTTTAGTAATTTCACATATCTCGATCCGCTGGCGAGCCGCTCGACAATGCAATATATGGGCTCGAGCTCAACTCGAGTTCGTGCTCGAGCCGCTCGAGCTCGACTCGAGATCGGTCAAACTCGAGCTCGAGTCGAGCTTTGACTCGAGCGCTCGCGAGCGGCTCGCGAGCTGCTCGACTCGTTTGCAGCCCTAGTTGGAATATCACTTGTGAGTTGTCCAATATTGATTCTTTAGGGTAAATGTGTCTAGTTCACAGTCTAGTGAGCTACTCCTCCTATCACCACGTTTTGAGATGAAACATCACTAAAGTGCATTTAGGCTCACCTGCGTTTCATCTGGTGGGACCACACTCTCTTCCCCCGGTTCTAATATAATGCTTGATATTTACAAATTTAAAATTTATATTGAAATAATTATAAAAATTAAAAAAGAGAAATAAATATTTTTTTTTGATGATTTTAAGTTAGTGATGAAATATGACCCTAAGTGCCCATAAAAAACTTCAACCAAGTTTGGAAAATTGAAAAACCACATTTTTTTTTTCTTTTTCCAATTATTCAAAAATTTGATATTTGTAACCCACAAAATATGATTATTATGTATGCAAAATATCCCAAAAATAAAATAACTTATCCAATTTCATTTCTCGCGTGAAAATCTTCAGAAACAATCACAGTTTTCTTTCTCTTTCATCTCCTCTCTGGAACAAAGTCGCACCTCAAATCCAGTAAAACAGCTCTCCAGAGGTGAGTCGTTACCTAGTCAACTCGCGATTCTTGATTCATCTTCCTTATTTTGTTATTATTTTTTTTTTTCACCATTCTTGATTTCTTCGTGTTTATTGATTTTCGCCACTGCCTGGAGTTAAATTAAGAAGAAAAATCAAATATATCGAATGTGTTTGAAATTATTCAGCTGTTTATTTACAAGATATATGAGTGTTCTTAGCTGTAATTTTCTGCCGGAGCCCTTGATGGATAATTTATTTATTTTTTCAGGTTCACTGAAATTTTAGCTTGTGGGTTGTATGTATATCAAAAGAAATGATCCCATGTTCATGAGTTGCATGATTCACATCATTTATTGTACATTCATACATAGGAAAAATCGAATCTTTATTAAATTTGCTAAAGCTCACAGTCCTTTATTGGTCATGGTATTAAACTCCAAACCCAATAAGAAGTCCCAACTGTCTTGATTTTGCCTGGGCACAAACAAACAATTGCTTGGAAAATGCTATTCTTGATTTTTCCTGTTTATGGATTTTCGGTGGAATCCGATATACCGAATGTGTTTGGAATGGAGTTCGATTTTTTATGGTTATTAACGTCGATAATTTTGTTCGGGTAAGTGCATTTTATGTTGTAGCAGTTATTGAATTATTCGGTTGCTTATTTCCAAGATCACCATCATTTATTGTATAATCACACATAGAAAAAAAATTCCAATCTTTATTCCAGGTGCTAAAAGCTTGCAGTCCTGTACTGGTTATGGTATAAACTCTCGATTTGTCTAGATTTTTCCGGGCAGATTAGCTCGGAAAATGCTATATATTGACCAAGACCCCGACTTTGAGAATATGGGCTACGCTTTTAGCAGATTAGAGATGGAAACTGAGGCTTTCGATGGCTTGGGTTCGAACGAAGAGCCTATCGAAAGCCCTCGGTCCAATAGACAGTCGAGCTTATTGGACAACGATATAGCTCAGCTGACTAAGCTTCAGTCAGGCCCACAAGAGAATCTGAGCCGTGTTTTTCCGGGGAGGCGTGAATTTACTGTTTCGCCCCTGAAGATGTTGGCTGGGAGAGAAGCTAACCTCTCTGGAAAAGGGCGGTTCACGTCCGGTGACCGCCGGCATGTTCTGAGCAGATATCTGCCGGTCAATGGCCCGTCAATTGTTGACCATATGTCGACAAGAGCTTACGTGTCTCAGTTTTCGGCCGATGGGTCCCTTTTTGTTGCTGCTTTTCAGGTAGAGCTTCTAGAAAGTGTATATATATTGTTTTGGGAATTCGATTGGATTTCCATTTACTTTTTTCTTTTTTACCATTTTTAATAGTTAGTTGCAAATCGTACGAATCTCTTAGGTTTTAGCTTAACTTATAGAAATATTCCCTTCAAATGTGTTTTATCTTTTACAAGTTGCATTGTTATAAATTATTTTTTCTCTATTGTTTGGATTGAAAATGATTAGAATGGTATATTGTCGGTTCTTTTAAAACAGGGGAGTGAAATTAGAATATACGATGTGGAAAGAGGATGGAAAGTTCGAAAGAATGTTCTAGCTCGAAACTTGAGGTGGACAATTACGGATACGTCCCTGTCTCCCGATCAAAGACACCTTGTGAGTTTACTTTTTGTCTCTATAAAAGCAATAATCATCAATATTGGTAATTTAATCTTACTCTTATTCTCCTATGTTTAATGCTTTGAGTTTTGCAGGTTTATGCTAGCATGTCACCAATCGTACACATTGTCGATATCGGGTCCTCCACAAGAGATTCTCTAGCAAACATCAATGTATAAAATTTTATCTTTTTTTTTTTTGGCCAAGTATTTTTTGTTAAGAGTGAAAAATGTGATTTGGTTTTTGCACTACTCCTTTCGACAATTGACATGCAGGAAATCCATGAAAGCCTTGATTTCTCGTGTCCTGAAGATAGGGGATATTCTTTCGGAATATTCTCTCTGAAGTTCTCGAACGATGGCCGTGAAATTGTAGCTGGAAGCAGTGATGAGGATATTTACGTTTATGACCTTGTAGCTAATAAACTCTCCCTCCGAATCTCTGCCCATACGGTAACATTTTCACTTACTAGAAAATTTATGAAAATCAACTTTTTTTTTTCCTGTTTTGAGCTGCCTTTGCCACTTTTGGTAGAACAATACGATATCATTTGCTTCATATGAATTCTGTCGGGAGATTCCTTGCATGGGAAAGAATATTTCACTCTAACTGATTACAAAATACATGCAGATTACTTTTTTTTAATCGCTACTACTATGTCGGTGCATTTAGTTGAAAATTGGAATGTTCATGAATATATATCCTCTTCGGTATTAAAAAGCTTTTCTAACTGATTATATCACCCTTTTTCATATGTTTGCTTAACTTCTTGGGAGACTCGATTTTGACATGACGCATTTCAAATAATTAAGTTGTATTTTAGCATTATTTATTTATTTATTTATTCATTTTATCTTACACAACTATACTCTTAAGGATGATCTTGAAAACTTGAAATTGCTTAAAAAGCTTTATCTAATTTTTCACCATTACACATTTTTCCTATTTCATGCAGTCCGATGTCAATACTGTATGCTTTGCTGATGAAAGTGGCCATCTCATTTATTCGGGAAGTGATGACAATTTTTGTAAGGTAATAATAATCCCTGTAAAGTGTTACTGTGTTGTTAGTTCGTTCTACTTAATGTGGAGACATTAATTTGTATGTTTTCGTTGAGCAATTATTCTTATTTTTTGCTTGTGAAGAAAATATGCTTTCCTGTTCACTTTACCATTGATATTCGAATGAAAAATAGGCTATTCCCATAAGAATTTGTTCCTTTTGATTCCCTTTACGCCTTACGATATTGTGTTGTTTCATTTTGTTTATCCGTAAATTATAATTTTACAAAATAAAACATCTTCGTTAAAAAAACTTTCGATTTTAGAAATCTGAACAAACATTGGAAGTTCCGAAACCTATTTAGAGGATCGATCGACTGAATCTTCTAATTGAATTAATGGACAGGGAATTGGGATTTAAATTAGCTTTTTTGTACTAATAAATTTAGCCAATTAATAAATCTGTATGATTTAAATATTCTAAATTTTTTTCTAATGTTTTCTAATTGCCCTTTTAACTTATTCTATTAAACACATGACCTATAAGTTTATATTACTTGCAAAATAAAAGAGATAATCAATCAATAAACCGTGTCGGTTTGTTTGCCAATTATAGAATCGTTAGCTATCATATATCAGCTAGCCGATACAAATAGCTAGTAAAACTGCCTCTAACTCGCTAATAATCCCAATTGCCAAGCAGGGATATTATCTTTACTTTTATTTTACAGGTTTGGGATAGACGGTGCCTTCGGTCTAATAGCTCTCCCGCAGGGTACTTGACGGGCCATCTTGAAGGTATCACGTTTCTCGATAGCCGTGGAGATGGCCGTTATTTAATATCCAACGGGAAAGATCAAGCTATCAAACTCTGGGATATACGAAAAATGTCGTCTAATGCTACTTGGTATGGCTCGTTCAAGACTTATACTTTTTAGGCTAAATTGCGTTTTTAGTCGTCATGGTTTAACACCAAAGCAATTTTAGTCCCAAGATTCTAATATTTCTGTCTTTTGGTTGTGATTAATATTTTCAGTCATTTAAGGACTCAAATTGCAACAAATTCCCAAATTTATGTCTTTGGGATGGATTTTATATTAGCAATTTAATTTTTGTAGTTAATTTGGCACAATTTCAGTCCTGTAATTGAAAATTTTATTTGCAATTTCATTCTTCATAGACTGAAATTGCAGCAAAATATTAAACACAGAACCACAGGCGAAAAGTTGGAACCTTGTGACTAAAATTGCTATGGCTCTATAAAAATGCATTTTTGCCTACTTTTTAACTATTTTGGTCCATAGAACTTAAATTTTTGTGGTTAATGCGCGCGCGTATTGCGATTATTCCATGTTACGTGTTTGTATTTTAAAACATCGCCTTCATTTATTTATTCTGTTAAAGCCAAATTCGAAGGGCAATCTTCGTAGATATCCTTCAATTATTCCTTCTTTTTACGAACAAAATTGGGTTTGCATTGTCCAATAATATTTCAGCTATCAAGCATACAGAAATTATGAATGGGATTACAGATGGATGGATTATCCTTCCCAAGCAAGAAACCTAAAGCATCCGTATGATCAGTCGATAGCTACTTATAAAGGTCACTCGGTTTTACGTACTCTCATCCGTTGCTACTTCTCGCCTGAGTACAGGTCAGTGCTAATTATATTGATATGTGCAATAACTTTCGTCTACTTATCAAAATTGCCACGATTTTTAATAAATTTTTCTCCAACATTCGCAGCACGGGGCAGAAGTATATCTACACTGGATCTCATGATTCGTACATCTATATTTATGATTTGGTACGTGCGGCTTGGTATCGATTAATGAGTTACTATTTTAATAAAAATAATGGCTGAAATGCAATTTAGGTCCTATTAGATTATATAAAGGTCGCAATTTAAGTCCACTAGAGATTTAATATAGTTATTTGAATCATGTAAAATGCATTTTTAGTCCCGGTTTAAAGCTATAGCAATTACAGTCCCAATGTGCCAACTTTTCGTCTTTTGGTTCTATGATTTAATACTTTGCTGCAATTCCAGTCCTTTGTAACAAATGTCCAAATTTATAGATTTTTTATTAGCAATTTCAGTCCTAGAATTTAAACTTTTGTTGAATTTTAGTCCTTGAGGACCGAAATTGCAACAAAATATTGATATGAAATTGCAACAAAATATTAAAAAAAATCACAGGACCAAATATGTTATGCAACAAAATATTATAAAAATCGCAGGACCAAATATGTTAAGAGTCTTGGAACAAAAAATGCTATGACGTTAAACCAATAGGAATAAAAACGCAATTAAGCCTATTTTGCTGCAATGTCACTCCTGTCTGACCTAAATTGTTACCTTCATAATTTAATAGGACAAAAAATTGCATTTTAGCATAAAACCTTCATAATCTAATAGGACCAAAAATTGCATTTTAGCATAAAAAATAATCAATGTCTGATTATCAGGATTCATTTTTCTAGAGTAAATTGTTTATTTTTTTCTTCAAACTTCAGATAAGTGGGGACCAGGTCGCGAAATTGAGGCACCATAAATCGACAGTTCGGGATTGCAGCTGGCACCCGACCTACCCGATGCTTGTGAGCTCGTCTTGGGATGGGGACATTGTGAAGTGGGAATTCCCGGGAAATTTGGAGGTGCCGCCTCCCGCCAACAAGACGAGGCCAAGGAGGAGATATTTCTTTTATTAAAGTTTAGTAAGTCCATCCAATATATATATACATACACAAAGACAGGCAATTATACTTTGGAAAGAAAAGGAAACAAAAATAATAAATAAATAATTAAACTTAGCTTGTTTTCAGGAATTTTCAACTATATATTATCTTTTAGATCTGCAGATGTGTGCTGTGGTAGTACATGCTCAATTGAAGTTTGTACCTGTAGGTGCAATCTGTTGAATTGGAATTGTGTGTTGTGGGGATGTTTGTAATATTTTGAAAATATTGATGAATATTTTTGGTTATTTTGTAAATTTTTATTTTAGGTGCAAGTGGTTACAGACTTGCAGTGTTTCCTATTATGGAACTCTCAAATGATTGGTAATATATATATACTAGTATTCGACCTTGTGCATTTGCACATATGTAAATAAAATATTGTGAGTTATTTCTATGCATATAATGATTAATTATTTTCTTTCATCTTTTTGCTGGCCAAATTTACAATTAAAGGAGTTGGAATATTTTTTTAAATTGTGTTTATCTGATTGGATGTAATGTATATTTTGGTCCGTTTTTTTGTGGATTATTTATTATTTATTTAGGAATTTCAAATACGTTTTTTATTTTAAAAAATAATTTAAATGTAACCACAATAATAACATCTAATCACATTATACGGTCAAAACATTATATAGTCGACTGTCAGTAATCAAAAGTTTAAAATGAATTTTGTAATTTTGAAGTGTTTAGTGTGTTGATTATTTAATAATTAAATGAAAGATTAAATACATCAAAAGTAACAGTTTTTGGAGGGAAAAGGAGTAAATTGCCACATAGGTAAAATTAAATAGGTTTTATTAAATGCTATTAGCTAGTAATTATATATATATATATATTCCCATAAATCTATATATATATAATAAGACTTATATATATAAAAATCATACAACATTGAATGTTGCATTAAATTTTGGGCTTTAATTAATTTTGTTATTTAAAAATTCCAGCTAAGAGTGTGGAATTTTTATTTTAATTTTTTTTTATAGAAACAACTAAGAACATTAAATCTCAATTCAAAAGGTAATAAAAATTCTAGATTATCGGTCTTTATATTTATGCCTTTCAAAACAAATATTGAATGTTATTATTTAAATATCATTTTTCACTAATCATCACCTTTTTATATGGAACGTGTGAAAATAAATTTGGTAATGTTTATCAATTATATTTACAAATTTATTGTTTTTTCTATACTTAGTTTCAAAAGGTAAAATAATTTTCAAATTCTCAGTCTCAATAATTGTGCATTTAAAAGAAATATTTAATACTAATAATTATTTGTTAATAGGACACAATTTTGAAAATTCCATTATAAATTGTATGTTAATATCTAAATCATTTTATAAATCGACTTTGTTAAATCTCCACAAAAATATGGTAAAACAAAATGAGACGATCAATTTTTGTATGAAAATAAAATAATTATTAATAAATCAATATAAAGTTCACATGAAATTACATAATGAATAATTTGTATAGTACACGGATCTAAAAAATAATACTCACGTGGATTTTTAAAATTCAAACTTATACTTATTGTCATCCTCTGGAAATTGAATAATATATTGTAGACAATATTTTTTTAAAATAATTTTAGACATGTTTTATTCATAAAATAGTTAAAAATATTCGGTGCTTTTAATATTTTAAACATACATTTTTTTATGTTATTTTATACAAGATATTTTATATTGTTTACAACTGATATACGATAAATTATGTCACATATTAACTCAACATCTTAATTACAATGATTAGTTCATATTGTTTACCCTAATATTGTTTACTATCTCATCTTTAATTTATAATTATTATTTAATATTGTTTACTCGTGCATCGCACGGGCTATACACTAGTTCACTGTAAAGTTTCTAGAGGAAATCCTTTTTGACCAACCAACTTAAATTCGCAAGATTTAGCTAATTACGATTAATCCAAGATTTGATTAATTAACCCAATTTTTATTTGATAAAGCTTGTAGTGCCTTGATTTGATCTCCCAACACCCCTAGCCACACTTTATAGTGTCGCTTTAAGGCCTCGCATCACAACCTAACCCGGATAAATGGAATAAAATATTTTAGTTTTGATTGAATTTATTGAATAAAGTTAATTGATTTGAGAATTTAATGAGAATTTAAGTTTGTATTTAAATAATATTTAAAACGTAACGATTAAAATTGACGTGACTAAAATGATTCAAAGTGATGGATAGATAAAAATACGTAAGTGGATGAATATGAATTAAATTAATCTGATGTGTGAGAATGATTGGCTATTATTATTTCATAAATGATAATATTAAAAAGAGTGAAGGTGGATAAATTTAAGTTGAATTTTAAGTTAAATAATTTAAAAATTATTTGATCAGTCAAAATCGGATAGTTTCTAGAGGCAAATGCCCCAACTCGTGTGCATGATAAATGATTAGAACGGTCTCTAATCATTTGACCAACTTTCTATTTGATTAAACAAAACTTACAAACATGCATATCTAATCCCCATTGAAAAATATCATATAAACTGAAGCCACAAACCATTAGCCAAATATGTACACATCAATTGTGAAGTGAAACCATATCCACCAAGCGTAAAAAAAAAATTTCCTTTTCATTTTCCCCCCTTGAAATTTTCTTTTTTCATTTTCCCCCCTTCAAATTTTCCAGAAAACAAATCTATACACAAGATGTTGTTTGTCCACAGCTACATTTGTAGCAACTGCTTGTGAAAAAAATAGCTCACATTTCATGGGAAGTAAAGAATTCACTCAAGCACACAATAGCGCGCATTCGTATAAAATTCTACGTTTGGACCAACTGATGCTATTCTTCTCCAGAGGATGAAGCAACTTAACCTGCAACCACAAAAAAAGAAAAGTATCGAAAATTTTCGGATCAAATGTCTTTTCGGAGCACAGGTTTATGAATGGCTGAAACCATTTGGCGTGTACTGTGTGTAGAGTAAAAGATGACCACTGCAAAAACTATCTTAAAGATGAAAAGTCCAATTAACATTTTATCAAGGGGGGAATCTGCAAATTTGAAAGACGGATGGAGAGTTCTGGAATATGGCAAAAACCTCAAAAAGGGTATCCTTGTTAATTAAACAAGAAATAGGGACATGGACATAATAAAAAAACACGCACCTTCTTCAGAGAAATCAAACATGCCGCCACATCCAATCCACCCTTCTTCCTCGTCTCGTTTTTCCTCTTCATGATGGCTATTATTATCATCATTCAGCTCGTCATTCACGGCCTCGCCAAACTCGGGCTTGTTACAGTACTCTTCCTCGAAAAACTGCACAGAATCGACAGTTTTTTCCTCGGTTTTTAAAGGAACGAGAACATTTAGTGATGGGAACTCGTTTCCCCGTGAGAATTTGGCATTGGGAGTGTTTTTGGGTGGCAACGGCAAATTAATGGGCCTCGATTTCGGGTCAGCTAAGGGAACTTTGACATTTGGGTCTTTTGCTGTGTTTGAATCACTCGGGGCATGGACGGGCAGTACAGGAGATCTCATGATGCTCATACAGTCCAAGTCGAGCAAATTCTCCATTTTCGTAGATGATCCTGACCAAAAAAGAAGAGGAAAATGGGTATAAAATCAGTTTGGTCCGGAAAATATGTACAAGCTGAAGACAGTGGTACAGGACATTTGGCGAACGTTAGCAAACATATAAACAATACAAATGAAGATTCCAAAATCACCTGTAACCAACATCACATAATGACTGCAGTCAGTCCAGGAAAACAAAGCTATCTTTCAAATCGTTGCTATTTGTTTCAATTTAACAATCGTACTATCAGCAGTGCTATTTATCTTCCCTTTTAGGAGAATGCAAATCTCAAGACGGTGGGAAGATCTTTTGTAATTCTGAATAATTTCACGAAAATGTTGGAAAATATATGGAAAGAGAATCCCCGAGATTAAAATATCTTACCTCCTTCCGAGCTTTCAGTTGAACTAGATGACGATGGCTTTGAGTGATGTAAAATACTTGCTTCATTGGTTTTATCTCTAGCTTGACAACTACTGGACGGAGCACTAGAATCTTTCCCTTCAGGAGGTATACATCTGCAAAACACCAACCAATAAGCAAATCAGAAGACATAACACGTACCCAAAAAAAAAAAAAAAAGAAGCTTATGTTTGAAGCATGTGAGTCAGAAACTGGGGTACAGATAAGAAAGAGAAGAAGAGGGAAATTATAAAAACTATATACCAGCTAATAAAATAACCAACATGCAGAAATGGTGCACACTTCTTGAGTTACGATTTGCGGAAAACAAACCAAGAAGTCATCACTCAGAACTAGCGGAAATACCACTTCAATGAGCCAACAAACCTTCCATAAGAATCCATGTTGAAACTATCCTACACAATCAACCACATACCAGAAAAAATATCTAATGCTGATTAAGGTAGCAGCATGCAGCAAATGGACCACCTTAACTGACTGCTTGAGATAAAACAAAACAAATGGATGATTTAAGCTTTTTTTTTTTCCTTTTTCCTTTTTTTTTATATTTTTTTTATAGATTTTGTATTTAACTATATGATACGAATTGAAATATGCAAGATGAGTTGCCTAATTAAGATGATATATCAGCCTTCCCACTGGATTGTTCTCTTACACTGTCAAACTTTGAACAATCATTCAGAAATTGATGTACAAATTGACTGGAGGTCGTGTACCAAATATACAAGGAACAAAAAATATTAAACAAGATGTAATTCAATATAAAAACCAGGAATTATGATATTCACCCCTCGGTCCAGCCAGATCTTGCTCTGGGGAAATTGTCAAATATTGGCAGCAAATCCTTGTGCTTTATCTCAATTTCATGCGAAGAAACCTTCTCGATCTCGAACTCCCCATGCGAATAACATTCTGCTCTTGGAGGTTCCATCACATGAAATTGCATCTAAATCAAACAATCAGGTAAGTGCAAGTAAAACCATCCTAAAACACATGAAAATCAACAAAGTAAGCAAAATTACCTTCGACTTTTGCCAAATTGGTAACCTACAGGAGTTTATCTGAACTTCAGCATTCGACAGATACCAGTGCGATCTGTCCACCCACTTCAGTGAATTATTATTCTTAACCAACTGCTTATCTCCAGGAATCAAATTCTTCCCAAAAACCATTTTCGTCTCGTCCTCAATCTCGGCATCACTCGATCCATCAAAAATACTCCCAGAAATACACTCCTCTCTCTCCATATTATTCATCCTCCTGCACACGTCCCACCATTGCATGGGCTCGACCTTTACCCTCAACTCCTCGTTTTGTAAATTGGCCGACAAGTATTCACTCCGGCTCTCAGTCTGTTCATCGCTTCCCGGAGAAGACACAATTTCATGCTGAACAACAAAACCCGATGGGGTATAGACTAAGATATGCTCCAATGAGCTCCCGCTCGACTTAACATCAGCAGAGTTAGTATTATGAAACACTGCAGCAATGGCTCCTGACGGGACCCACAACTTACCCACCACTGAAGCAGCAGCATTGCTCACTGAATTAAGCAGGCCCGAGTTGTTGCATTTTATCCTGGCCAGAACCGAGGGGGTGCAAGTAGGTGGCGGCAAAGGGTGTTGCTCGTTTACAGAGAAAGATGAACTTGACCACCATGGTGGGGTGGAGGCCAGATACAGAGAGGTACCTTGGCCAGAAGTATAAAGAGTTTGAAAGCCATCATCACCTCCAAAGGGTGACAGAAAAAAGATATGGCAAGTTCCCCTTGTTGACACAATTGCAAGCCACTGACTGTAATGACTAAAGCAGATATCTTGGATGACCTGATAAATTCAAGATTATTCAGACATTCTTCGAAGAGATGGTAGTACAGAAGAATAATAATGAAAAAGCCAGTGGGCATATATATACTTACCGCACTGGTTATACCACGATAGAGCTTATAAAGATGCACATACGACGTGCTCCAGTCACTAGAGCCCGATGCACTGTATTTATAAATCGGCATGATCCGGAAGATATTTATGTTATTTCCATGCATGGAGGCAGTAACCAATAGGGTCCCACTAGGGTCGAAACACAGAGCAGATATTGGACTCATATGAGCCCTGAATTGCGATACCACCTCTAAGGAAACAAGATCCTTCACAACAATCTGTGTTTACAAATAAAATGACTTAGGAAAATGATTCACTGACCAAGTCTGAAGCTAAATATTTAACCGTAGGCATACTCAAATCAGGTAACTATTTCTCAAACAGAAATTACTAATAAATAAATTATCCTAGTTTCCGGTTTCCACATACCACTCCAGCATTCTCCGGTTCAGATGCTGCTAGCTTCCCAGCTTTCCATCCAGGAGAGCTAGGACTCTCAGGAAGCAACTCCGGATAGTACTTAGATAGTTTCTTGTATCCTATGTCTCCCAGCGTGAGTATCCCAGCAGCTAAGTGTTTACTGGATTCAACTGCATAACGAGCCATGACTGAACCACTGCCTGGCCATGTCGATGGACTCTCAGTAGAGGCAAGGATCTTTGGGCTCACCCGACCCGTGTTTAACAGAAATGGACGATTAGGAGGATACGCTAACCACCTTGGGCCCACAGTCATTGGACCGTAACCTGTGTTGATTCCAAATCCACCTTGATCTCCGACATGAGGTACAGGATAGGTCACAACGATGAATTTCTTCTCAAGAGTAAGGGTGTCGAAGCAGTAAATCTGCTCAAGAAACAAATAAAGAAATTATGCATCACCCATCAGCTTTGTGAGAAATATGGTTTCAAGAAAACATATTCATGCTTCTATCTGTTTAACAAATATTAAACCAATAATCACTGTCATTTTATTTGTAAGGGGTCTCATTCTGACATGTGAAATATTAAAACCTCTTCACCAATGATTCTCATCTAGATTTGTACTTACTTGCTCTTCAAGACCTATAGCAACTATGCGTGGGCTGCATCTGACCATAAGCACTGGCGATTTGAAATCAATAACCTTCACGTATTCGTTCGATCTCATCGAGTAAAATCTAACAGCAGTAGGGGGATAAAAAACGCTCCCATTTGGTGGCTCTGCTGAATATCTAACAGGCCCTTGGCCAGCATATTGGAACGAGGCGACTCTTTCATCCTCACTCCCACCAACCACCACAAGGATGGGATGTGATGATTTGTAGTTTTGAGAAGCATCACAAACTGCTGGAGATGGAAGCATCTGTAAGAAGGTAACTGGTCCATCACGTCTGGAAATGAGTTCGCTTAAACCAGAAGCATCCTCAACATCAAAGACCTGGAAACCCTTTAGATAACCAAGTAATAGGACACGTCTGAAGGCAGATGGACTGATCTCTACTTTATCAAAGCCAGCCCATAATACCTGGTTAACAAAATTCAATGGTACACCAACATGAGAAGAACCTCAACTAACAGCATGTTCCGATCAAATCAGCAACACTAACATTCTTAATCTGACATGAATACACGGAGCTCATTACAAGATGAAGATCATAAATGAATAGTAGCACGCCATGATCCCCTTGCTCAAATTTAAGGGATGGTCCAAACCTATCACTACAATCTCTCTAGGTTTAACTTAAGTATCGATATCAATCCTCATGATTATCCAGGATTTAACATCTGCAGTGTGCCAGCTGGTATAAAATTTTGTGCAAAAGAACAGAAAATAGAAATACCCCGATCATGCTGACATGCAATAGTTAGAACATGAATCAGCCATACAGAAGGAACATGATAATCAACTCTCAAGGAATCAAAATATATTGTTGCTGGGAAACACCTGTAGTTTAGAAACAAGATCTCTTCAACTTAGCTATTTGTGCAAAAATCTGAATGAAACTCGGACTACTTAATTTCCCAAAAATATTACCAAATAGTTCGAAAAGAAACGGACCATATTTTGTAATTCAATAAAAAAATATTGTGGACTGATAATGCACCTATGATAGTATATCAGAACATAACAAATAAGCTCAAGAAAAGCAACCATGCCTGCATAATTTAAAAATTTTTAGAAAATGATAAGCATCGTCATAATCTGGATAGTTTACCACTTAAAATGAAATTTCAACATCATGTTTCTTTGGAGAAGTATTACTTAATTGAGAATATTGAACATTGAAAATATCTGGAAATGTTATTCTTGTTGCAATGAAACAAATCAAAGCATAAACACATTTTAAAATAAGCAGCACTCACACAAATCTTCCAGGTAGCAAAACTGATCAAACAGATCAATAATGCTGTGAAATTTCATCAACCAATCCAGTCAATAATATGAAATTATTAAGATATCAAGTAGTCTATTAGCTGCAGAACCAAAATCATCCATTCAAATAATTAAAAATAATTAATTACAAAGAACAATTGGATAATTTTCAAGTGCTAACGGTTCCAGTTCCATCAAGAACACCAAACAACTATATAAGAAGATAACTGTCTCAAAGAAACCAAGCCAACTTCAACCACAGCAACAGAGCTAACCATTCGAGAACAAGAAATGATATATTTCCAGAAATGATAGAATCACATTATATAATTATACATATAAAAATCAACTAACTGGCAAATATCTTGAATAACTAACAGCTCTAGTTCAATCCAGAACAAGACAACAAAGGACAATAACAGAAAGCATTTCAAACACAACGAACCGCATAACAAACAAAAACAAAAATGGAGCCAGAAACCCCAACCTGCTCTTTCCGATCATCTCCTGAGGAGGAAATGGAAGCGGCGACTGACGCGCCAGCCGACCGAACGGCGGTGCTAGCATTCGTCGACACCGTCTTGATACAGGACGAGATTATCCTCAAAGAATTAGGCAGCAATTGGCCGCTCTTCCCCTTGCCTTTCCTCATCACTTATTTAGGGGAAAAAAAACGAAAAGAAAAAAAAAAAAAAAAAGAGATGTATCAAACAGAATCACTATCTCTCAGCCTTTTCCACCCATCGCCGAACAACCGGCAAAGTCCGATTCCACTCCACCGCCGTCGTGCACCGCCGCGCAGCCCGAAGCGTCCGACGCGCTTCTGCCGATCATCAAATCCCGCGATCTCCGGAGAAATGACGACACCGCCGCCGCGAAACAATCGCCGGATTTCCGGATAATTTCTTCTACTTCTCTTCTTCGATTTATGAATTTTTCTGCTAATTTTGGGCGACCTTTTTTTCTACGGAGTTTGACTTGAAGGCTTTGGTTTACTGTCCATGGACTCTATTTCGTGTATATATATACATACCCGCACGCCATCGTCTTCGGCTTCATGTTGTTTGATCAGAAAGCAAAATCTATCCGCAGACCCAATTAAACATAATGATTAAAAACTATAAAACCCAAAATAGAAAAACACAAATGTATTTAGCAAAAGTCGTGACCTCGACTTGGTTAGTTAAGACTCGAGCTCAACTCGACTTGTTAGACTCGAAAAATAAAAAGCATTTTTGTGCAATTTCCTCGACCTTAAGCACAATTCGGATGGATAAAGGCTCGAGTTCGAGTACCTAGAATTCAAGCTTGGATCGACTCGTAGTTAAAGTTGTCAATAGAAACGAGCCTTTCAAAGTTGAGTTTGTGCAAGGCTCGATTACTTAACGTAAAATATAAGTATTTTTACGTTCAATTTTTTGACCTTTTATTAGTATATTTCAGATGGATAAAATGTGTGCTTTTACATAATTTTCTAATATTGAAAGAAAATCGGTTGGATAAGGGCTCGAGTTAGAGAATCGAAAGTTCGAGCTCAGATCGACTCGTAACTAGAAATGTTTAACGAAACGAACCTTTCGAAGTCGAATTTGTTCAAGGCTTGGTTACTTAATGCAAAATGTATGTGTTTTTACACAATTTCTCGACCTTTAGTATTATTGAGACAAATAAGGGCTCAAGCTAGGGCATGACAAAAATATGTGTTTTTACGTAAGCTTTTAAAAACATGTGTTTTTACTTAAGCTTTTAGCGAAAATTGACTGGATAAGGGCTCGAGTTAGAGTATCAGGAGTTTGAACTAAGTAATTTTTTAAACATTAACTAAAAATCGACTGAATAAGGAGTTTAGCTGGAGTATGAGGACTTATACTCGTTAGACTAAAGAATATGTATTTTTACATAATTTTTTCTATTCTTAGTATAATTCGGTTGGATAGAAGCTCGAGTATTGAGAGTTAGAGCTAGAATCGGCTCGCTTATAACTTTATTAGTGATCACTATTTGTTGAAAAGTAATATATTTTAAGTGGTGAAAAAGGAATGTTAAATTCTCATTAGAATAATTGAAATGAAACTTGGGAAATTTTTATGTATGCTGCATGATTTTAAATTAATTGTAATTTTACCGTACAAATAGAAATAATTATGTCTCTACCTTAAAGACATTATTTATTTATATTAATGCCTAAAGTTACCAAATCCTTTCAACTCTATCTCCTTAATTCACGCTTATCCCCATAATTCACGCAGATCATTTAATAGAGCTCTCAGGTGGTATATATTGGGTTTATGTTAGTATATATTCAGTATATGTGGCAACTAGAATTATGTAATTTACGCAGTCGGTATATATTGCGTTTATGTTTCTCAGGTGGTATATATTGGGTTTATGTTAGTATATATTCATTATATGTGCGCAACTGGAATTCTACAATTCACGCAACCGGTATATATTGCGTTTATGTTAGTATATATTCAGTATATGTTGCGATAAAATAAAAAAAAAACATATTATTACAGATTACTTATATTCCTTATACAAAAAAATATTCTAAATATACAAAACATATACTATACATATACTCTATATACACACAACATATACCCAAAATGTATATAATCCAGATGTAAAATGTCTATAAACTGAAAATATACTATCAATATACTCAACATATACTGATTGGGGTGTGGTTTTTTTATTTAAAAAAAAAAAACACTCAAAATCCCAGTACTATTCAACATCCAAAAGTATAAACCGTCCAAAAAAACTGAAAATAATGCCGGCAGAAATTGAGGACGTCGTTGCTGCTTTCTTTTCAATC